AAGGAGAGGGGCCGCAGGCTGGGGGTCTGCGGCCGCGCTTGTGCCCAGGAGGTTTGTCAGGGCTTCCCGTGTCCCTGTCACTGGCCACTGGTCTCTGTCCCCAAATGGAGATGGTCAGGCACTTCTGCTGGCCAGGTGGCTGCCCAGCACCGCTCAGGACTGGGATCATCCATCCCACCTCGCTCCTTCAGCCACTGGCTCTCCCCGGGAGGCTGAAGCATCATCACTGAAACCCCCTGGCAGCCTGAAATAGATAAAGTATATTTATTATCTATAGTGTAATATAGGTGATATACTATAACCTGTATGCTATATACTAAATAATAGATATAGTGCATATATATATATATATACAAATTCTATGCATTCTGTGTGTGTATAATATGGTGAGTATAACTGTGTATATACACAGATATACAGTGTAAGCAGACCATTTATGCTTATATGTATAGACATACATGCATACAGCACACTATATACAACATACATATATACACATATATTTACACACCAGATAGATACAGGTATATGGATATAGATATATGCATACGGATAAATATATATATACATATGTAAAACATTTCTGTATATGTATGTGTGGTGTAGTTGATATAGTGGGGAGAAAGAGAGAGAGTATGTGTGTGAGTGTAGTGCACAGTGAAGCTGCCCTGGCTCCATGGCCGATGCGGGGCAGTGGGGAGAAAGAGGAAGAGGAGGGAGACACGGAGGAAAGAGCACAGCAGAGAGAAAGAGGGAGAATACAAACTGCTCCAAGTTACGAGAGCTCCTCTCTTTGATTAATTGTACTTTCTGTTTGATAAATGTTACTCATGAGTATAAAATATGCAAAGCACTTACCAAGTTCACACTGTTTAAAGAACTCAACTAACTAAATTAAAATTCGATGATACGGACGGAGCCGCTGAAGAGCAGCGCGGCAGCTCGGGGAGCCCTGCGCCACGGCCACGCATCCCGCCCGCGCATCCCTTCCCCGCGACCCAAACCACGGCGGCCCCCAGCCCACGGGGAGGTGCCTTGGATGCGGCTGCAGCAGGTGGTTTTGGTGAGGCCCTGGGTTGGGATTTCTTGCGTGGCCCCCGGCCCCCTGGCTGAGTCCCTGCGTGGTGGCGAGGGGCTGCGAGGGCTCAGCCCGGAGCATCCTCTCCCCCTGCGGCTCGGCCTGACCGCGCGGAGCAGGGAGGGGTGGCCCCAGCGCTGCCTGAGATCGGGGGTGGGTGGGGTGGGGGTGCTGAATAATTTGCTCTAATTCCCAAGCTCCCACCCCTGTGGGTGGCAGCAGCCAAGCACCCAGAGCCAGTGACCCAGGGTGGCTCACTCAAGCCCCCAGAGCAGCGGGGTTTTGGCATTGCTGAGCCCCAAGGCAGCACCCCAGCATCCCACCTTGTGACCCCCCCACCGCGTGTCCCATCACATCCTGCCAAGCGTGACACCTCCCCAAACACCCGCAGTGCTGTACCCTCCCAAACCTGTGATAAAAACTAACTCAGCCCTTTCAGCTTTCCCGAAATGGCAGCTGAGCACCCCTGGGTGAAGGGCAGCCCCCCAGCGTGGGAAGGCAGGGGGACTCCGTCCACCCCCATGGGGTGTCTGCAGCCCTGCCAGCTCCCACCTCTGCCCCAGTGCATGGATGCGGCGTGTGCAGTGGGGGGATGCAGTGTGTGGTGGGGGGATGCAACGTGTGAACTGGGAGGATGCAAGTGTGTACACCGGGAGGATGAAATGAGTGCAGTGGAAGGATGCAGTGTGCAGCTGGGAGGACGCAGCCTGAGCACTGGGAGGTGCAGTGTGCACACTGAGAAGCTCCCAGTGCATGTTCCCGTGCCTGGCTTGCACTGCCCACGCTCCTCAGCCTCCCCCTCGGCCACCGCCGCCGTCCCAGGTGAGCTGGGCTTGCTGGAGCAGCTTTGAGCAGCAGCAGCACGTCAGGCAGGTAGCAGCTCCCTCCCGCTTGCGTGTGAAAGGAGAAAGAAGGAAGAAAACCTGGCCTGGATCCAGCCTGCCTGAGCACTTGCCTCTCTGGGAAGATTTAAGAGCCCCACTCAAGAGGTTTAAGCATGGCCCCAGAGCTGCCCGCTAAGCCCCATCGGGTCCCTCGGGACCCCACGCCGCCCTCACCCCAGCTCACAGCGCGGAGGCCACAGACCACTGGAAACCCCCGACTCCCCAAACCACCTCACAGGCAGGATAAGCCCCTCCAGGCAGCCCCGCTCCCTCCTCCTCCCACCCACAGCCCTGTGCCCCCAGCACCGGACCCCCCACGGGCAGGAGGTCTCCAGGCACAGACCTTCACGTCCTAATAACTCCGCAGCCTGAACACTGATGGAGCTGCAAGTTTATCAGTTTTTGTGATGCCAGCAAACCCAGCCAGCGTGTTGGTGCTGATGGGCCAAAACTCTTCATGTTTTACTGCCCAGGGGTATTTCTTCACCTCCTCATTCTCCCAAGCCCATTCACAACCCTTCGGCCAAGCCGAGTTCTTGGGGAAAGAAGCCACAGGACGGGGACAGGCAGGACAGAGGGACTTGGCAGGTGGAAGAAGACTTTTTTTTCCCAAGTTAGTCTTCACCGGGCTGATAAATCCTTCTGTAAGGGTTGACCCCAGAACCCACTCAGCCCCAATGGGTAGAGACTAAAATGACCCACACTTTGCAAAACCTCCTGGGAGTTTTTGCCAGGGAGGGATGAGCTGGTGACCAGAGGCCCAGCCCTGATCCCAGCCCTGAGCCCCCGGCACGGCCCTGACCCCCCGGCACATCCCATTGCGGCACAGCTGATGCCAGGCTCAGCTTAACCTTGCAGTTTGAGCAATAATTTAGCCCCTGTGAACCCACCCGGCTGTAAATCCTGGCACAGACAAGTCCCAAACATTCATTTCAGGCAATGCAATTTGTGTCATCTCAGCATTAGCATTTACACTCTTATTAATTAATACTTGCTAAACTGAGACTAAAAATAAAGCGCTCGGCTCCTCGTCACATCGAACGGCTCTTTGCCCTCGCCCGGCAGCACGGCTGGGCTGTGGCAGGCTCAGCACCTGGCTGCTCCCTTCTCCATAGCCAGAAAGGAAGAATAAAAAGGGCTGTGTTGAAGCAGGAATCCTTCTAAAGCAAAATTCACCCCTTTCTGCACAGCCTTGGTGGGACAAACCGACCATCTCAGCTATTGCTAAGGGTGTGTGGCCACGTGCAGCTCGTCCTCAGCTCCGCTCCCACCTGGGACGAGCTGTGGGGTGACAGGGATGGCAGCACGTGCAGGATTTAACCTTTCTTTTCTGTTCCAGCTTCTGAACTGGTTTTCCTTTTGCTGCATTTTTTTCTTCCTGGGCTGGGCCGGCTCAGTCTCACTTCCCATTCGGAGCTGATTTAATTTCCCAGGCAGGACACCCTGGGAGGGCTAGTGACCAGGAAGGAAAAGATGAAGTGTGGTGGGTGCAGGTGGGCTTTTGTGCCTGCACACAGCCAGGACCTGCCACCGATGCCTCCACTTCAATCCCAAAGGCACCAGTTTCTGCAAAAGTCCCTTTTTCCCTCAGCGGGGCTGCTGTTGCCCTTCAGCATCCCTTTGGATGCAAAGCTACTGGCTGCACATGTGGGTTAGTGCTGCTGCTGGGGGAGCTGCAGCGGACAGAAGGGCCTGAAAAAGGGGTCAGAAAGGCTTTTGGGGAACCCCCGGGATGAAACCCGGCCAGGTTTGGGCACAGGCAATGGTGCTCCCCACCACACTCCAGCCAAGCGTTAAACCCACCAGGCTCCGTGTTTCCTCCCTTCCCATTTGCCCCAGCTCTTGGGCCCCCTTCAGACCTCGGCTAAGCAAAGAAAGCAAAAACTCAGCACAGGCTGCTTCCCATATAGATTACATACATTGCACCTGGATCTGTAGCACACAGGCCTACAGCACATACAGAGCCGAGGCGCACGGCTGGCACGGTGCCGGCTGGGTGAGGCTGTGCCGACTGTAGCTCCCCGATGCTATTGCTGGGGAAGGCAGTCTGGTCTTCAGTATTTAATAACATTAATAATATTTAGTAGTAATATTTAATAGAAATATTTGATAATAAAAGTTAATAATCAATAATAATAACAGCAGCAACAACAATAATAATAATAATTCGTTATTTAACCTTTATTAATGGAAACCCAAAGCCTGCAAATTTGCACAACTACAGGAAAGCCCCGGGTTACCAATCTGCATGATTTAAAACACGAAATCTTGCAAAACTTGGCCATGCCCTTGGCTTGGGTGCTCTTCCCAGAGCCCCTCAGCTTTCATGTTCTGGAAAAGTCCAAGCTCCAGCAGAGCAAAGCTGGAGGCCAGGATCCCACCCTCCTTTGCTGTGCCGGGACAGCCCGGTGTGGAGTTGGGGGGCAGAGGGGCTCCCCCAGCCCCGGCTGTGGGAGGGAAAAGCAGATGCCCAGGTCCCCTCTGAGTTGGGGTTGGGTACCGGAGCCGGCAGCACCAGCAGCACTTGGTGATGCAGCATGGCTCGCACGCATTGGGAGTGAATGTTAATGGTACTAAGCTCCTGGGAGAAATGATCAAATTCTCTGTATAAAGCGGGGAGGAGAGGAAGGGGAGGGGGAGGAAGGGAAAATAACTCCACAGATTAATTCTGCTGATGAAAATTAAAATCGGGCATCGCCAACCCAACCCCAGGATGAGCTGCTTCGGAGGCACAGCTCAGCTCCCACCTGGCCACAGCCACCCTCCAGGGTCGGCTCTGCCCGAGCTTTGCTCCTGCTTGTTCCCCAAAAGCCCCCAGATCTGCTAAGCCAGCAGCTCCCTGCACAGGTAAATGTGCTGCAGCCTACAGGGCAGGATCAGGCCCTGGGGCTGCGCAGGGATGGGCTGTGAGCACCCTGGCTTGAAGAAGGTTTATCTTCATCCCCAGTGCCTTCACTTCACCCGGCTTTACCTGCCCAGAAGGCAAGTCAGAGCACCCAGAATTGTGAGATTCGTTTCAATGCCAAAGATTAAAAAAATGAAATGTTGAAGGCGTTTTATTTATTTTTTAATGAACTGCCTGAGTTTGGAGCCTTTAAAGACTTATTTTCCCCAACTCTGTGCCCTCCGGTGAGGATGGCTCTGAAGGTCCTCCTGGTCTGAAACTCAGCAGTGATCACAGGACTCCGGGAGCTGCTGCTTTAAAAAGAAAACCAACTTTAAAAAGAAAATAAGGTAAGAGTTTGGGAGTGGGCTGTGCCATGAGCTGCTGCAGGATCCGACCCTCCCGGCCAGCAGCTCCCTCCTGCTCTGCTCCTGAGGAGCCCGGAAAGTCCTGTGGGAGGGACGTGCCTCCAGCATTCCCAGGGCGGCTCTGGGGGCACGAAGGGACGTTCCTTGGCTTGGCCAGCCCCGGGCACATGAGAGGGCACCGAGGAGGGCACAGGGCTCTGCGCCGGGCAACATGGTGAAGCCTCGAGCTGGGGTCAGGGCTACAGCAATCCTGGGGGTGGGCACCCATGGGTGGGACCCCCCTGCACGTCCCACTCCGCTGCACCCCGCCTTCCCGCTCCCCTCCGCTCTGCCGCCAGCCGTCCCCTCTCCCCGGCTGTGATTTCATTTTGATCTCGGGCTGCTTTCCTCCCTCCCTCCATCCCTCCTCCCTCGCTCGCTGCTGCCAAGTCCGCAGGTTCCTGCTGTGACCTTGAGCTGGTTTCTGGAGCTGGTTGTGGGTTTCTTAAAGGAGCCGTGGGGGCTCCCACCGCCCCTCTCCTGCTCCCCCAAACCCCAGCCCAGCCACGCACAGGTAGCCCTGGGGACGGGGGGTACTGGAAGTGAAAGTAGGGGGGCCCCTGAGGGCACAAAAATTAGGAGAGGGTGGAAGTGGCCAATTCTGCAGCCACAGAGCCACGGCTCGGCCACGCTCACCACTCACCCCTGTGTTTCCTCTGGGGCCAAGCAGCTGCTGGAAGGGGGTTCCTGGCCACCAGCCCCAGTGCTGTGCGAGGGGTGGAGTGGGCAAAGCCCCCGCTTGCCCGTGGTACCCAGGGCTGGCGGCAGCATGGGGAGGGGGAGCCCGGTGCTGGGGTGCTTAGGATAGAGGGGTGCACCCACCTCCCAGCATGCTGGCAGGTTGGTGGCCCTCGCCGGCGGCACGGTGGCCCTCGAAGCCCCACGGCCTCCAGCAGTGGCAGGGAGAGCTTGAAAGCGAAGGCGGCAGTGGCTGCTCCCGGCTCCTTTCCGAAGCCGAGCCAAGGGGCAGCCGGCAGCCCACCCGCCACGAAGACCTGCAGGGTAAAGCCTGCAGCCAGGGCCCTGCTTGCTTTGCTGGAGCACACGTGTGTGCACACACGCATGCACATGTGTGTGCATGCGTGTGCAAACAGCGTGGCTCCCTGCGGAGCTGGCGCTTGCACCCAACACTGGGTCTTGCATATAAACCCCAAATCCCACGAGTGTCTCCACGCCTCAGGGCGAAGGTGAGCAGTGCCTGGAGTTTCAGCAGGGTACAAACCCCCCAAACTGCCCTCACCCCAATTCCTAAAGGCACCTCAAACCCTTCCAGGAAGATCCTTCTCTGGGTTAAACCCCACAGGGGATGTGGCATGGCCTGGGGGGAACCAGCTCTTGAGCTGAGACTGAGAAGTCAAAAAGCATCTCAAAGTGCAAACAACTCCCGTGCAGATGTGCATGTGGAGACTCCAATCCCAGGAGCAGAGGTGTGCCTGTGCCTATGCCATGGGGGTTTTAAGCCACAGTTTAACTAAGCTGGACAGGCTGAGATTTCAGCCTTGCTTGGCCAGCCCAGGCTGTACTAAAAGCTCCATCAGCTGGAGAGGACCCCAATCAATAAGCGCCTTCAAGGCAAGTAATAAAACTTTGAAATTATGCAGGCAGTTCTTGGCGCTCCGCAGCAAAGGTGGTGTTTAATTCATGGGGACAGTCTCGGGGAACCAGTGAGGGGGGTCTTAAATTAAGGAGAAAGGATGAGGGATTGCACCGTTGCCCTCTGCACTGGGTGACCGGTGCTTGGATGGGCTTGGAAGATGCTGCGGTGACAAACCCACCGCTGAGCCTTCCTCACTGCGGTGCCCAAGCGCAGCACCTCGTCCAAAAGCTGCTGGAGGTATCAGAGACATCCAAAGGTGCCCCAGTCTCCCCCCTTGTCTGAGCTTCTCTCGATCCCGGAGAGATGCTGAGCACGCAGCATCGCTCCCTGTTGCCCTGTGGGTGTGTGGATCACGGGACCTCACAGATCAGCCTGGGAACCCCAAAACCAAGCGCTACCTTGTGAGTGGGAACAAGTAACACCTTCTGCCCTGGACATGGAGCCAATGTGGCTCCTAATGGCATGGGAGGGAGCAGGAGGGATGTTCTCAGCCCCATCTATTATAGATACACATGGGGGAAACTGAGGCACGGTGGGGTTACAGAAGCAGAAGGGATAAAGGATAGTTACGGGAGAAAATCAGTAAGGCTGGTGCCCTGGTGCAGACCAATTGCTCAGGGGATGAAAACCTAGAGATTTCCCTCTGTATTGCTGTAAAAACAAGGGCCCCATTCGGATCACATAAAGGCATCAACAGGCCACCAGAAGTCACAGCCTGGTAGCCAGGGCAGCCTTGGGAGCCCCTGATCCTACCGAGGAGAGGAGCAGCCGCTCCTCTGCCACCCTCGTCCGCACTGCTGGACCGATGCTCTGCGCAAGGAGCCGGGTCCGACCCGCAGGCGACGGGGGACCAGAGCGCTCGGGGCTGTTGAGGCAGCACAGGAGGCTCAGCCATCGCTCCCACCACCACAGGGATGGCTGTGGAAAGCCTGAGATCACATCCCACCCGGTGTGGGGACACAGCCCAGCACCACGCCAGGAGGAGGAGGAGGAAGGATGGAGCGGGAGGAGGTGGGAGAGAGGGAAGAAAAGGAGAAAAATGAGTTTTCCTGCTGCCCCAGCGGTGTGGCGATTGATCGGGTGCAGGCTGGTGTGGAGTGGTGCTGAGAGCCTCATTCCCCACCGCCAGCTCACAATTATTGGAAAAAAAACCGGCGCTGCTGCTGCAGTGAAATTAGTTATTGATCTCTTGTCTGGGTGACAAGCGCGGCGCTCGGCTGCGGGGCTGTTCTCCCCGATGGCCGGCCCCGCAGCCTCCTCCGCTCGCCCCGCCGGGGCTCAGGACCCCTGGGCTGGCCCCTGGGCAGAGGCAATCGGGGGTCTTGGTACTCACCCCAGCCCCAAACCTGCTCCCCAGGGAGGTTTTGCCCACCCCACTGCACGCAATGAAGGCGTCAGCGGGAGGAAAAGGGCTCTGCCCCATGCAGGATGGGATCCCCAAGTGCTGACAGCCCCCCGTTTCTGCTCTTTCTAAAGCTTTGTGCCCCCACCCACAGCAATCGCCCACCCCTGCCAGGGCTCCCAGTCCTCAGGGATTGGGATCAGGGTGTCCTAGAGCCTCTTCCACCTCTAGATAACCTGGCCATCACAGAGGGAGATAAGGCAGCGGGAAATCAGGCAGCCAGAGAGCTTTTGTTGTCTGGAAAGGCTCTGCACATCCCTGGCTGCAGCCGGTCAGAGCGGCTGGACCGGCATCCGCTGCCTGGCCCCGCGGTGACAGGGACATGAAGGGAGTTGTGAGGCTGGGACAAATGGTTTCTGCTTATTCTAGGGGACACTTTCACAGTTTCAACAACAACAACAAAAAAAAAAGGTATTTATTTTCTTGTTGTAATTCCTGGTGCGAGGCAGGAACAACAGGGGACATTTCAAACAATCCTGTTTTCCTCCAAACGTGGTCACCAGAGAAACGCTTCGCTCCAGGGCAAAGCCAGGGTTTGGTTTCCAGGGGGTTCATTTGGAGTTTCACCTTTGCTTTGAGTTAACGGAGGTGTTTCTTTTGCACAGAGCAAGGGTGTCACTAGCAGGGACAGTGGTTTGAGGCTGTCATTGGAGTCTCCTAGGTCACATCGGGGTTCTTTGATTGTACATAGGGGTTTTTTCTACCAACATTTTGCCCCAGAAAGCAACTCCCTGAAGTGATCCCTCTCCCAGGGCAGGGGTGTAATTAAAGTGGCTTTTTGGATGTAAATGAAAAGCCAGGTGATGGGTTCCTGGTGGCCAGGGGTCTCTCCAAAACCCACATAATTTTTCCTGGGGTTTCTTCTGTGGGGTCTCTGAGATGGGGACATGGCCAGCGTCCCTCTGCCTGGAGGGTCCCATGGGCGCTGGGTGTAATTTAGCATCTGCGGGTGTCCCCATGGGGAGCATGACCTGGTGGCACTGCCCATGGTGGGGTGCCAGGAGGGGACACAGTGGGGACAGGATGGACCAGGACCTGTCCATAAGCATCTCCCAGGGATGGGTAAAAAAGTGGCAGTGGGGTGGCAGCAAGGGGGACAGCAGCTGGAGGCCACTGAGGGCCACCCAGGTGGCTCATAGGGTGTCCCCAAACCCTGCGGCGAGGGGCACAGCCAGATCTCACCTCCTGCCTCCCTCTCAGCACCCCAGGCAGTGCAGGACCCTGTCAGCATGGGTGCATGGGTGTCCCCAGGGACGCTGGGGGGTCCTGGCCTCTTCCCCAGCCCCAGACAAAGGCCTGGGAACAAAAGCCTGGGGGATGTGGGCGGCATCTCCGGCCCAGGGGTATTTGTTTAGCCGGGGCTGGGTGGGGGGGAGGTCGAGAGGGGAGAGGAAACTGCATTTCAAAGTGTTTTACCCTTTGTGAACCCTTTGCAGCCCCCCTCCCCCCTCTCCCCCCAGTGCCCTCTGCATGGGTCCAGTACCCTAGTGAGAGGGCACTCGGTCCCCCCCCAGCCAGCCCCAGGGTCTCTGCTGGGGAGGGGAAAAGAGATAAGATGGGGAAGGAGAAAAAGACAAATCTAGCCAGGAGGAGGGAGCAGATCGCTGCGGGAGCGTTTCCCCAGCTCAGCCCCTCTCTGGGTGGAGAAGTCGAGGATGCCCCAGCTCCAGGGACTGACTGCTGGGCTGAGGGCGAGCTTGGGAATTCACATGTTTCTCCTCATTTCTCTCCATTCTCACAATTACACTGTGGGTTTTTTGGGATGGTGGTGGGTGGGGTGTTATCCTGGGGCTGGATCACAACCTATGCCTGGCCCCTTCCCAATCTGCCAGCACCCGGAGCAGAGCTGTGGGTGCACTGGTCCCCTCGGAGGCACCAGAGGAGGTTGGCAGAAGCCGCCTGGGC